CGGGGAACTACTTTGCCCTCGAGCTCTGGTTGACGGGCTCGTCCGCGGGACCGGCCCCGCTGCCTACTGGCGGCCCATCACATCGCCCCTCCCTCCCCCGCCGCCCGGCTCGACTCTCCCAGCAGCCTCCGATCTCCGCCCGATCCCTTCGAGGGACCAGGAAGGGGACTGTGGGGCTCCACTTGGTATCCCTCCGCCGGGGTCACCCCCTCCCCTCTGTGGTAGCAGGAACTAATTCCTCTTCGGGTCACCCGGGACCTGGAGCTGGAAATTTCACGGATCAGGGTTCCCTGAGACCCTTGGAGAAGGGGAGAATCGCCCCAAGTTAGAAATCCTTCTGCCAGCTCATAAGCGTGGTTCAATTTAAACTAGGGTTTTGGCCCCTTGACCCCGACCAAGCCCCGCCCCTTCCTGGTTGTCTTAGCGACGGCGGTGGCGTCCCAAGATGGCGTCGTGGCTGCCGGAGACTCTGTTTGAAACTGTAGGACAAGGCCCGGCGCCGAGCAAAGACTATTACCAGTTACTGGTCACCCGGTCTCAGGCAAGTGCGAGCCCCGGTTTACCCTCTCTCCTAACTCCCTACCTGGCCCGGTTGGGGCCCGGGACCCAGGCTGTGCTAGGCCGAGAGCAGCCGTAGCCCGCCGGAAGCGCCCGGTCCCGGCTCCGCGCTGGGAGATTTTCCTCGTCACCTCGGCCTCCTCGGTCCGGCGGCCCGCGTGTCCCTGCTCTCCCCGAGCCCGGCTAGTCCCTGGCAAGCCTTCTCTGCCTCCCCGCGGTGCCGCGCGCTCCTTTCCCGCCACCCCGGCTTCCTACCCGTAGAGTTCCCTCCGCGCGAAGAGGAAAACGGGCGTCCCAGGCTTGCGTGCGGCCTCACCTCAGCGTGAGAAGGAGGGAAAGAAAGACTCAGCCAAGTGTCCCAAGGAGGAGCCGGCTAGGGAGGGGAAAAGGAGATTGCCTCTTTTCCAGGATAGGAATTAATCATGGAGAATTTTATAAATCTCTTTGTGGCCTTTACGCGTGCCATGGCCACATCAAAAGTTAGTTATTTCTAGTAGCAGTTGACGATTGGGAGCTCTTCTCTTACCTTTTTGAGTCTCTTCTATCCCATTGAAAGTGTGCGGGTGGTAGTATAAAAATGTTTCAGCTGCTCTGCGCTTCAGCCCCACCCATAATGACATCTGCTTCACAACAATAAGACCGAGGATTATATTATCTCCAAAGTAACCATCGGCCTATTTTTATGCCTACTTTGGTTATTGAAGGTGGGCTTTTGGATGATTTACTGTGTCCATGAAATTCTCAACTTGAGCGGGGCCTCCATTGGGAAGACGTTTCTAATCCTGGCTGAGCTTACGCCTGTCACTGAGTTATTCATGCACCCTGCGCTTGCAATAGATACTATTCTATTCCTATAAAATGAAATTTAGAAGTTTGTATATATTTGTTTTGGCGTGCATATTGATCATTCCCTCGATTTTTCCAGGAGCCCTTAAACAAAATAGGTAATGAGTTAATTTTTTATATTTTTAAAAGCATCTTTTAAAATATAAATGTTAATATATTTTTTAATTTAAGATTTGGAAATATTACAAATGTAATATTAGACTGTCCAAAAATTTTTTTTAAACAGTACTGCTCCTTGCGGAGCAGGGCTAATTCCTAGGCAGTGGGCCCAGAGTCAGCCTCAAATTTTTAATTAAACTGTTTTTAGGGGTTTTTGCTCATTTGGTGATTTATGAAATACTGAAAGTCATCCTTTTTTGTACTTTTTTTTTTTTTTTTTTTTTTTGAGACCGTGTCTCGCTCTGTCGCCAGGCTGGAGTGCAGTGGCGCGATCTCAGCTCACTGCGACCTTGTTTCACCATGCTGGCCAGGATGGTCTCGATCTCTTGACCTCGTGATCCGCCTGCCTCGGCCTCCCACAGTGCTGGGATTACAGGCATGAGCCACCGCTCCCGGCTTCATACCTTTTTTAAACGGATTATTGATTTTTCCATTGGCTTTAAGATTTATTTGTTTATTTATTTATCGAGAGGGAGTCTCCCTCTGTTGCCCTGGCTGGAGTGCAGTGGCGCAAACTCAGCTCACTGCAACCTCCGCCTCCTGGGTTCAAGCGATTCTCCTGCCTCAGCCTCCTGAGTAGCTGGCTTGTGCCAGCACAGGATTACAGGCGTGTGCCACCACGCCCAGCTAATTTTTGTGTTTTTAGTAGAGACAGGGTTTCGCCATGTTGGCCAGGCTGGTCTCAAACTCCTGACCTCCAGTGATCCACCCGCCTCAGCCTCCCAAAGTGCTGGGATTACAGGCGCCGACCACCACGCCTGTCCAATTTTTTGTGTATTTTTAGTAGAGACGGGGTTTTGCCATGTTGGCCAGGCTGGTCTCCAACTACTGACATCAGGTGATCCAGCAGCCTCGGCCTCAGAAAATGCTGGGATTATAGACTTCAGCCACCGCGCCTGGCCAGCTTTAAGATTTATGATCCTGACATTTCTTTACTTCCTAACATGAGTGGTCAAAAATATAATCTGTTCTAATCTTACGTGATTTTCTATTTTCATCTACCTCAAGTAAGTTAGAATGTTTTAATTTTCACTCTACAGCCTTTAAAACTTTGTCTTTTTTAGCATTTTCTTTCCTTTGAGGGTCTGGTATTTTAGAAGCATGCTTCATTTCTCTCATTTGTAAGACTCAACAGGCTGAATATCTGTTTACCTTTTTATTTTAGTAAATTATCCTTAGGAGTGCTCCTGGCATTCGGCTTCCTAAAGAATACTTACGTTGTTGACGTTCTTCAGACTTTGCCCTCAAGTCTAACTTAGGCGCACACCTTCCTCTAACTACTCTTTTTTTTTTTTTTTTTTTTTTGAGACAGAATCGTGCTCTGTCGCCCAGGCTGGAGGGCAGTGGTGCAATCTCGGTTCACTGCAAGCTCTGCCTCCTGGGTTCATGCCATTCTCCTACCTCAGCCTCCCGAGTAGCTGGGACTAAAGGCGCCTGACACCACGCCTGGCTAATTTTTTGTATTTTTATTTGAGATGGGGTTTCACTGTTAGCCACGAGGGTCTCGATCTCCTGACCTCGTGATCCGCCCGCCTCGGCCTCCTAAAGTGCTGGGATTACAGGCATGAGCTTCCGCGCCCGGCCCTAACTCCTCTTTTTAAGAAATCTTTCCCACCATCCCTTCAGTGTTCTTAATTTTTCTTTTTCTTTCTTTATTTTTATTTTTTTATTTTTTATTTTTGCAGGTGAAAAACTCCCCTTTATCTCAGGTTTTGTCAGTTACATATATATAAAATCCTAAATTCTGATCCATTTTCTTTTTTAAGCATGCTGAATAAATCCACTATACTTCTACCAGTGAGAGTTAATCTCCAAGCTAATTAATTCACCCTCTTTTTAAAGTAAAATTTGTTGTAAAAAATGGCATGCCAAAAAAATACACTTTTCAGTCAACTGCCTTGAGAATATGCTATTTTCTAACCACAAGACAATTTTTCTGAGTCTCAGCACAGGAAACCAAACATCCAGTAAGAGGTGGCCTGACATAAATAAGTACTAAAAGACTAGCATTAAAATGTGTTTTATAAGATAGATTTTTTTCTGGAATGACTTTCTAAAATTATTTCTTGTACATTTCCTCCTCTTTCTCCTGTCTTTATTTTTTTAATTTTGTATATTATCCAAATTATGCCCCAGATTTAGATGAATCCTTCTTTCGGGCTGATTCTGTTTTTTAGTCTCTTTTTCACTGCATCTTTTTCGTTGGCCTTATAAATCCAAATAACTGTACATTTGACATGGATTTGAGGGCAGCTATTTCTCTCATTAGTGTCATACCACCACTGACATAGTCCAGAATATAAATGTTATACATAAATATTTCCTTTGTTTATATAGTAACATTTGAAATATATTGTATGCTTATACAGGCGCTTCTCTTTTACTACTTGATACCATGTTGTTTTGGGTTTAGGGGGTTTTTTTATTCAAAAAAATAACTTTCAGATTATAGCTTGGGGTCAGTTTAGTTTCTCAAAGCTGATCTTTATAATGATGATCTCCAGCTTTAGAAAAAATAGTGCACTGCTTTCTAAATCAAAGATTCACTCAAGGATTGGGCACAGTGGCTCAAACCTGTAATCCCAGAATTTGGGGAGGCTCAGGTGGGAGGATTGCTTGAGCTAAGGAGTTTCAGACCAACCTGGGCAACATAGCAAGACCCCTTCTCTTGGAAAAAAAAAAAAAAAAGAGGCTGAGCACAGTGGTTCATGCCTGTAATCTCAGCACTTTGGGAGGCCAAAGCAGGCGGATCACTTGAGGCCAGGAGGTCGAGACCAGCCTGGTCAACATGGCAACACCCCGTCTCTACTAAAAATACAAAAAATTAGCCGGGCATGGTGATGCACATCTGTAATCACAGCTACTCGGGAGGCTGAGACAGGAGAATCGCTTGAACCCTGGAGGCAAAGGTTGCAGTGAGCCGAGATCCCACCACTGCTCTCCAGCCTGGGCAACAGAGCAAGACTCAATCTTTAAAATAAATAAATAAATAAATAAATAATAAGATTTACTTGGCCAGGTGTGGTGGCTCACACCTGTAATTCCAGCACTTTGGGAGCCCGAGGGGTGGATCACTTGAGGTCAGGAATTCAACAGCAGCCTGGCCAACATGGTGAAACCCTGTCTCTACTAAAAATACAAAAATTAGCCGGGCAGAGTAGCATGAGCCTGTAGTCCCAGCCACTGGGTAGGCTGAATCAGGGTAATCACTTGAACCCAGGAGACAAAGGTTGCAGTGAGCTGAGATCTCACCACTGGGCAACAGAGCGAGACTCTACCTCAAAAAAAAAAAAATTTTTTTTTACTGTTATTCTTACTCTAGTTCTAGTACTAGTTTACATATATTTTCTTATATGGGATTCTAATTCTTTGAAAACCTGTGGATTAATAAGTGTTCGGGCTGGAAAGCATCTTTGGGTTTTTGTTTTTGTGACAGGAGTCTCACCCTGTCACCCAGGCTGGCGTGCAGTGGGGCGATCTCAGCCTCCGCCTTCTGGGTTAGAGCGATTCTCCTGCCTCAGCCTCACGAGTGCCTGGGACTACAGGCACCCGCCACCATGCCCAGCTAATTTTTGTATTGTTAGTGGAGATGGGGTTTCACCATGTCGGCCAGGCTGATCTTGAACTCCTGGCCTCAAGCGATCTGCCCACCTCGGCCTCCCAAAATTCTGGAATTACAGGGGTGAGACGCCGAACCTGGCCAGGGCTAGAAAGAATGTTGAATATTATTTAGTTCCTACTCTGATGACGCATATATATTCTTCTTTATAGTGGGGAGAATGTAGCTAGTATTTGATTTTTAAAAACACTTTAATGGCTAATCTTTTATATGTTGTATTTTTTTTTAACTCCAAAGGAAGTTCATGACCAATTGGCAAGTTAATGAGTGCAGGTGTTTTGAAATCTATGAGTCCAGAAGACGCAAAAAATCGCTTTATACTAAGTGGTTCAGGAGGGTACTGTTACCAGTATTGTACT